ATTATTTTTAAATGTAATGCATATCCAAGGAAAATGTTACTTGAATATGTTTAATATACGTGGTAGTCAGAAGACTTCACCCAAAGTTAGAAAAGAAATACAAGTAATGATGGACTTCTTCCGTGGTCTACTTTACTTATAGGAAATAGCCAGTGTCTTCTGAGATAAATTTTATATTAAGAATCTTAAATCTTGGAAATTTGGTTATGATATTTGTGGAGGTTATAATTTGGTGATGAGGGAGGCAAACAGACTTTTATCTTCTTGAATCATTTAATTTTTTTCCACCTAAGTCATCAACTGACAATTTCCTCGTCAGCCGCAATTCAATAATTGGTGCAATTTTTCTGCTTAAAACACATAACTCTTACACAGAAGAGGAGCTCAATGTATGTTTGTATGTAAAATTTTATTTTAAATATAAGTCAGAAAAAAAATGAGGGTTTAGTTACCATCTAGCTCTGAAGAAAAACTGAGGCTTTATAGTACAAGTGATTCAATTATTTTAAACAAATAAGAAGCTACTGTCTAATACCTTATAATGAAAAAGACCAAGAAAACATATTGTGGATTCTTATTCTTTATCCCTATTCACACCTTGGAAATCATGGAGTACAAGGTATGTATTGTGGACAAAATTTCCTACAAGTTCTTATGACAGCATTTTTTAACTGAATGAGCAGAATTCTAGCCTTAGCAGTTACAATTCCACTAGCTAAAAAGTATCTAGTCTTTTGTTTTTGTAAGTATAGGGCAGTGTGTGACATGTGATACAATTAAAATATATTTAAGTGTTAAATCAAACAGCACAGAATTAATTACAGTACTTTTGGACTCTCTTATATTTAATAATAGGCACCCCTTGGAGTTTGGGGAAGGCTTTAGGGGTACATGATTTGTCTATTTGATGGCGGTGTCATGAGCCCCCTTTCCCTAGTCTTTCAAAAATATTTAACTCAGAGAGCTGTACATTTGAAGAAGGAAGGGAATCTGAGTGAAAAATTTCCTTTAAGTTAGAAACAAGAAAGTACTAAAAGCTAGAAAAAATATATGTTCCTTTAAGTTATTTTGTAGCCATGTTCTCAGTTGAACGTTCTGTGGAAAAGCTTTGTAAATGCATACATACCCAGCAAGCGAAATCGGCGACAGCAGCACTGCCTGTGCTATGGATGCCTCTGACAATACTGCCATCCTTTCACATGGTTTTATTTAGTTATTACAACTATCTCTCTGCAAATGACATTTAGGATTATTTAAGATTATGTTGTAATCCTTTTAATCCTTGGTGCTTTAAATTTCAGGCTAAACACCAAAGAGCAAACTAGCACTTAGCAGGAATGTTTAAAACATGTGATTTGAGCATAATTCTTTTTATTCATTCCTTCCCTGATGAAGAACTAGTGTTGCTCTTAAGTTAACTAAGGAAACTCGTGTAACAGTTCATTACAAATCACTTGGTTGCTAAATGTTTCCTCAAGCTACATCAAACTTGTGATAGTCCTTGACAATTACGCTCTCCACAGAATTAAGCAAAAGTTAGCAGCAAGGGACATTTACTAATTTAACTTTGAAACTGCACTACCCACCATAATTACAAAGTATCTTTCTGCTTGTGTGTGTGTGTGTGTGTGTGTGTGCGTATAAAAGTTCCCTCTTTCTCAAAGTCAAGCTACTAGATACTTTTGTATAAATACACACACATATATATGTATATATACATGCATATATTTTAACACCTGTCATGACATACTTATACATACTTTATTATAGAAGTTAACAGTGTTTTTAAAGAATATTTCTTAGTATTAAGTACTACCCCTTAGGCCATGATCCTAAGGTTTTAAACACCAAAACTTAATACTGCTATTGACGTTACCATTTTCCAATCAAATAAGATTGACTCCACACCAAAAGTTTGAATGGACTTTTACCAAGAAGGAAACTTTGCTCTTAATACAAAGAGACAATGAACAAGGCAAATGTCCAAACAACATATCAAAACAAATAGGTAAGCGAAGTTGTTCCTTTGTGTGTGTATGTGTCACAGTGTGTGCTTCTGAGACTTTCAAACACATGTCAGATGCTCACAATTTTTTGTTTGTTTTCCCATTCATCTTAAATTTGAGTACTGTGCAGACAGTGTAATTACGTGGCATATAAATGGTAATCCCTCAGAATGTTAAAAACATTTCAAATTTTAAATTATTTCTAATTTTGCTCTTCTTTGATTTTTCTTGAACTAAAAATCTCAATAGTCACTTGCTATCTGTAATCTATAATTCATAGGCTGAAATTGAACACCAAACCTAATTCAAACTTGGAATTCTAAAGCTATTTCTGAAGTAGCACATCAGCTGAAGCAACGATGATCTTTCTCAGTCAGGAAGAAACACTTCATTATTCTGCAGGTAATGAAACCCTTGCACACATACTCAAATACTCAACAATGCCTTAATATGATGTTTTTGAGCTGTAATCATGTTTATTCTGACCATTTGAGAGTTAGACCAGCTAATGTACCTAATCAAATATTGATGCAAGTCATCTAGATTTAGCTCTCTAGTAAATCCTTCCCAATGCCTTTTTGTTAACAGAACTATAAAAGCTGTTTATATTGTTCGTCTCAAAGGCTTAGTTCAGGGCATATATCTATGGATATATATTAGCAAATTGTACCTGAATTTTTGTACATAGATGTGTACCATGATAAAAAAAAACTAAGTCATACAAAAAGAATGAATCAGGAAATGAAACTTGAATCTTTCTTGCTTTCTAAAAGCTCCAAGAAAGACTAAAAAAAAGTACATGTAAGAATGAGGGCCCATGAATTATTCAATTACATGACAAAGAAAGGTATTATTGCCCTCTAAAATATTACCCAAAAGCTGAGAAGAATCTTTAATATCCTTAGAAGTACCTACATTCAGAAGCATGAGAAATAGGTGGAGAATTGCAAGAGGAGGAGTTAGTAATATTTGGAAAACTTTAGGGTGATAGATACCATTAGTATAGGCAACTTAAATATATACACATATACAGTATGTTCATAATTATACATAAGTATTTTAAGATCTGTAGTCCTGTGTATATATAGTTGACTTTCAACCACATTTGTGATCTAATTCAATTTTCATTGACTCCCAGGAGACACTGAAAAATAATAGCCCATCTTCAAAAATTTCCACTGTCCGAGAATTTTCAATAAATTTTGAATTTAATGTTGTCCTTTTACAACTTAAATCATTAAAATGTAAACTCAAAATACATATAATGCTAAAAAATGTAGCTTATCTGAACATCTAAGTAGTCAGAGAGACTAAGAATAAAACTACTAAACTTTATTACCTATGGAAAACAGAAAAAAAGCAAGATACTGGAGGAAAGGATTGTATTATGAACTATAGCCAGTCACTTTAAAACAGAATCCATTTCTAATACTTGCTTCTCTAAAACCCTATTCTATAGAATGAATTCACATCATCTTGGTTTTTTTTGAAACTCTGTATTATATCTAATGTTTTATTATCTTTTAATCTTTAAAAATAAAAAAAGTAAAAAAAGAACTCTTTTCTAATCACGCTTGAATTACATCATTGATTTCTGAATGTGTTTGGTGGTTTGTTGGTCTCTTTTCCTCCCTCCCTCCCTCCCTTTCTTCCTCCATTCTTTCCTGCTTCCCTTCCCTCCTTCCTTCCTCCCTCCCTCCCTTCCTTCACTCCTTCCTTTCTTCCTTCCTTCTTTTGTTTTAACATTTATTTTTAATTGGGAAATAAAGATTACATATATCTTCTCAGTTTCTTTCTTGGTGAAACAAAAATCTTTATATTTAAGTAGACTAAAACTTCAACCCGAAAAATAATTTATTTTAGAACATTTACAACTATTAAAATCTGGATGGACTCAAACTATTTGAATACACCCGAATTAGCACTTGGAAAAAAAAAACCCCTACTGGAAAGCAGACCTTCCCTTTGGCGGGAGTAGTTAGGGAATGTAAGCTACCTATGACTCTGTAATACTCAATATATTAATTTTAGCACAGCAAGTGAATACAGGAGAAATGATTTTCTCCAAGGACCAAAATGCTCTGAGAAGGTATTTAATGGAAAAAATGATAATAATCTGAGTCCCTTTCCTAATAAATGACATTAATTCTAAAATAACCCTATAGACATCTATAACTTTTATGCACATTGGTACATACTTGCAATTCATAATAATAGCATTCATCAGGGGGAGTTGGTACATATACATAATAATAAAAAACCTATGTAATTATTGGTTAATTTGGGACTATAAATGATAAATTTCATATCAAAATGGAAAAATATTCATCTCTGCAATCTAAAACTATTAATTGCCATTAGAAGTCATGCCAATTTATCTTATTTTGTGAACATAAAGTGTGAAATAAATATTAAATTTTATAATTTTTCTCTCTTAAGGAGTTCATCTGGTCCTTTGCAACCAAAAGAATCAATAGAATATGACTATTCATTATATGTTTTTCTCAAAATGTAAAGTATTAAATATAAAATGATTCAATATTTTTAGCTGTTCAGCTTGCTTTTTCTCCCTTACTTACACTGGTAAATATAATTAATGACTAGAAATCAGAAATGGTAATTTTAGAAAATAGCTTATGATTAATGAGTTAACTTGTATATGTTTGAAAGTTGTACATTACCTCTATTTAAATAAAATGTTCTAGGTTAGAACTCCAAACAGTTCACAAATACATTGCAAAATTCAATGCCTTGTATAAAACTAATCAAGATGCAACATATATTTTGTGTTTAGATAGCAACCAGTCACCAGGGAAAAACAACAAAACAAACCAAAGATTCAACAAGGAAGAGAAGGCAGACTTTCATAATGACCTTCAGACAACTAGTTCATGCACATGAAAACACCACAAGAAGAGAGTCTTATTTTGATTACCCAAGAGAGCTCAGATTTAGAAGGAATAGGAATAAATTGAATATATGTAGCATTCTTACCTGAAAGACATTCTTTCTGCTTGATTTTTCCTTGGTCCATTCAATATGTGCTCCACACAAATCCACGCTTTCTGGTTTGTGCCCAGTTTTCTGTAAACAAAAAAGAAATATGAATAGAAAGCACACATCATTGGAGATGCATGTCAGAGAAAATAAGAGTTTATTGAGTTAGCAGCTATACATATTTATGATAAAAATGGTCCATGTCTTTTTTTGCTTCCAAGGGAAACCTAATTTGTAGGACTTTTATTTGGAACTTTATACTTGCTAAAATTAGAAGTCCATTTCAAAATGTATTTCACTAGTCATAGATAATACAAAATAATTATTAAAATGTTATTTTGAGATAATGCTAATTAGTAACCCTAAGAAATAGAATTTTTTATATTTTTCCTTAATGTAGAATTTTGCTATTCAGTGGATAATGTATACTTAAAGCATTTTAAATCATATAATTATTAGATCCAAAGGTAAAGAAATATAATTAATAATTGATAATGTAATGGGAAAAATTGTTGCACATTATTTACATCTGAGACTTTAGCACAATTTCTTAGAATCTGGCTATGTCATCTTCAAACATTGAGCAAGTAAATTATTTAATCTTACAGTCTCTTGCAAGTTTGTGTTTCATAGGTTAAGAAATTCAATAAGTATTAATTATGTGCCTTTTTGAAACTCATTATTTAGACTTTGAAGACCTAACATATGAGTGTATTTATAATTTTATTTAAAAAATTGAATTTAAACCAAATAGATCATAATGTGTGCTTCCTTTTCACTTTAGTATAATGTGGATGTTATTTAAAAGTTATTTTGTTTAAGTAATACTTAGTAAACAATTAATAGAAATATTAAAAACATTTTCCTCAATATTTATAGCTAATTAAAGTGAATTTTTATAATATTGAATTTGTACCACTTCATCTTTAAACAAAAGCTTAGTAATTTGGAAATTTGATTATTTTTCAAAGAAGTATCAACTTTCAAAGACTTTCCAGCTATTCTCATGTGGTCTGAGGTATTCTAGATTTTTCTATAAATTCAATAATTTTTCTCAAGTATTTCTCCATAGAGTATTTCAAAACATTATTGTACGAGACTTAACAATACTTTTCAGCACTGCTTTCAACAGCAGGAACTTTAGTTTAAAACATGAAATTATGATGGAATGGTAAAAATGATAAAAGAAACTATCTGTCCATGATTATTGTCTCATATCTGCCACACCAAGTTTGATCAGTTTAGTAGTAACAGTCTGATTAAGCTGGAAATCTCTTTTCAAAAGTAAATTGTGACATTTTAAGTTTTTGATAATTCAATAATTGAAAAAAGTATAAAGCCAAACATAAGTTCATCTGGCATGATATCAGTGGGCGGCATATATTTTTATGTAACAGGTACCTCATGTTAAATCCAGGAAGGTGAAATTTGCTCCTTAAATACACTTCAATAGTGTGAGATTCTCACTAGTTCACCCACGCAGTGTCATAATCGTGATCACTATTATGAAAGACCTCAAAGCAAAATAATTATGTTCATCTTCAAGTAATTTGTGATGAAGAATTGCTAAAAATAGTAAGATACTTTTGTCAAGTAAATTATAGGATATTTAGAATCAAGGAAGATAATCACCTCTGCTATAAAGGGGTTTATCTTTTTCATCTGATGCAGGCAGGAGGGAAAGTTAGCAATATTTTATCTAAGAAGCACTAAGTATTTCCCTAAGTGTTTTAAAACTAAGAATTCATTTAATTTTTACTACAGAAACAGGTACTTCTTATTATCACCATATCACAGGTAAGAAATCACGCAGGAATGCTTCTGATATGGTTGAACCTTCCCAAGGTAATTCGTCACAAAGGGAAGGGCCAGAATGCAAATGGAAGCAGGGTAATAAAATTTAAAGTGTAATAAAGCTTATTACTACCAGCACAGAGTCCTGGATAAATGAATGTGCATTCTAATCATACTCATGCTAAAATTTGGTTTCTGGTTTTCTGTACACGCCAGGACAGATACATTGATGTTGTTTGTGTCTTCTGCTAAACTTGACCTTGTTGTGGATCCTTTACCATGTGTTTACCTGGACTCCTTCCCATTTTTACAAGACTGGCTCCACCCTCTGACTCTTGGCTAAGGTCCCTTGTCACAGGGCTTTTGACTGTTCTATAAAATGAGCTATGCTCCAGCACTGCTGGTGCTGTCCATTCCACTTCTTTTATATGCACACCTTCTGAGAGAAATGAACACATATATTTTCATTGACTGTTTATGTTTCGCCCACTAGAGTTAAGCTCCCTGAGCTTGGGCCTTGTTGGCCTGTTCTTCCACTATTTCTCCTAGCGTGCTGAGCAGTGCCTGGTACTTTACTCATTCAATGAATATTTCCTGAGTTCATAAACGAAGAAAAAAATTTCAAAATGCATTGAGCTTTGTGCCTTGGAAGGAATGCTTGGTTGTCTTAAAATTCCCAGTTTTACAGCAATTGAGATTTGTGTTTTTTTAAAGAGTTAAGCAGTCTTTTGTTTGTGATTTGGAAATACGCTACATGGTTTAATAGATTCATGTACAGGTTGAATGTGGGATTTCACAGTATCATTTGACAGAAACTTGTGGCATACTAACTGTGCATCCATAGTCTAGCCTCTTTTTTGCCTGGGCACTGGGATTCCAGGTACAGGAAACACTGACTCTTCTTTTAAGAATTCCCAGGCATGATGGTGCATGAATGTAATTCCAACTTTTGGGATGCTGAGACAAGAGCATCATGAGCGCTATCCAGCCAAGGCAATCTGAGGAACTTATTGAAAAAATAAAACAAAATGATGAGGATGTAGTTCAGTGCAAAAGGCTCTGGCTTCAAACATTGTGTGCAGAAAGAAAAACAAACAAATCAAAAGAACAGAAGAACATGCTTACTAGTATCAGTCTGGAAAGTAAATCATCCCAGACTTATTAAAAAAATGAGCCAGGGCTGGGGATTTAGCTCAGCTGCAAAAGCGCCTGCCTGGCAAGTGCAAGGTCGTGAGTTCAGTTCCCGGTACCGGAGAAAAACAAAAAAAAAAAAAAAAAAAAAAAAAAAAATGAGCCTTAGATTCGATATAATTGTGCACAGATGTCACGTGATGTGAAGCGAGAGGAAACTTACAGGTAAACCATAATGTAAGCTTTCAGAGTTTTCTCCTCATCTGGCTGTAGCAATTTCTAAGTGCTTTCGTCAGCATCACAAGCCCAGTCCCATGGTCACGGCACTGAGCTCCAGCTTACTTCAATCCAACTTCTGCCTTCACATGCTCGCTCCTGTGACCGCATCCCCGGGACCACGTCCTCTCTGCTACGCTCTGTGTAACAGCTCACCTTCACCTCTGCTCCAGCTCAGCAATTCCCCTAAGCTTCTTGTCCAATGAATTCCACTTTCTGAGTTCTCCTTACGCGCATTCTGTTCTTTTGGTTGCTTCCGATAATTTTAAAAACCTCTATGTAGTCTTCCCGTCTCCCAACTCCTTCTGGCTTCACTCTCCTTTATGAATAAGCCTAAGTCACCGATTCAACAGTCACGTCAGTCTCTCTGTCCATCTCCCTGTCCCCCAGTGACACTTCTCTCATCTGTTTGTCCTTCCAGTAGTCCTCCTCATTCTTTCCAGTTCTGCAGAAAGAACTATTACTTTCCGAGGAGGTAACGTTACAACCAACAGTTACCTTCTTCACTCTGCTTAGTAAAGTTTGCCGTTCCCAGTCACTTCCTCTGGTGTCCTCATGACAGCTGTTGCCCAAAGCCCACCCCTTCCATCAAAGAGTTTGTACCCACAGCACAGAGATCAGGAGCTAGCCAGAAATTCTTCGGGCTTCCTATTTTCACAGTTTATCTAATCAAAATGAATAACAAACATAACCTTTAATGAGTGCTTTCCATATGCCGTGCCCTCTGAAAGCTTTGGACTGCATTCCTGTTTGTTTTTTACAACACTTTGGTGGCGTTATTACCATTCCCTTCAACTTAGGAAAGAAGAAACTGAAACAAGAAATGGCCACACATTCAGTACGTACTTAAGCTTGGGTATGAATTAATCTTAACTGACCGCAATCCCCTCTACCACAAACTGCACACCTCTTTGTATTCATCTTTTCTTCCCACTAGTTCACATACAGAGCAAGGCCTCTTTTGGGTTCATGAATCAGCTGTCATGTTTCCTTTTGCTTCTCTGTAAATGTCACCATTTCCTGCTTTTTCTTCTCGTCCCAGAAATCTATGCCTAGCTCTGTGACTCTTGTCCACCTGTTCATTGTCTCGTTCCTCAGCATAAATGAGTGACTTCTATGAGCATTGAAATAACCTGGCCAGCCAGTGTCGTACGGTGCACAAATGATTTGCAAGGCGAGTCTTTCTTTATCTCAGAGGAAGAGAAACTCTTCCAGGTCAAGGCTCAGCATTTTCTGTTTCTAACTTCATCCACTCCTGTACACATCCTGAGTTACACTTTTTTTCCTACTCTCCCATTCCTAAACAGATTATATCCATAGTCTGTTGCCATAGGCAAGTTGTTCCTGTTAAAAAGAATAGAAGGAAGCCACGCATCAACTTTACCACTCCCCGCTTTCTCAGTCTCACCACTGTCCTCACTGTTATTGCCAGGTTTTTCGCTTTTCTTTCCTAACACTTTCTGTTTGGTTATGCTCCTTTCTCCTCTCAACTCACAGCAGCCTGGCTTTTTCTCTGTTCCTTACCTAACCTAAACTGGCTTAACCAGAGGTCAACAAAAACCATCTGATGTCTTGTTGTCATAGCTGAATTATTAGAATTGACGTGTGCTATTATGCTAATCCTCAGGCCTCACCTGGGGAGACATATTCTCTCTAAATTCTTCCTTTGTCCCTTATCTTCATTTGTCCCTTATCCTCTTTCTTCCCTGTTTCTTTCACTCACTTCTCTTCTTTTCCTCACTCTTCAGTGTTGGGAATCCCAGCTGAGTGTTCTAGGCTCACAATAATTCTCAGAGTGTACACAAGTCTTCTGGGTTTGGGTCTTGCTTCTGATCTTGTACCATCAGCTCTGTAATATACGAACTGCTGAGTGGGTTCCCTGGCTC